TCAAAAGTTTGCTAAACGGTTTTTTACTGATTTCCATTGGAGGGGATCCATCAGATTCTGACTTCTTAGTGACAATGGGACCGTTACGGACTCTGTTGTACATTTTATACTTTTTTCTGGCTGTCATGGTGACGTGATTTGTTAATTACATGTATTGCGTAAAGTGAAAAATCAACTTTTATTTGCGGAAAATGTTTACTTTGTGATAGCTGAAACGAATCCGGACCAGCATCATTGGCATCAGAGACCACCTCGATAGTATACCCTTTTAAACAAAAAAAGAATTTTCAAAATCGGTCCACAATTGATGGAGAAATCGATATGAACACTGACATGCCTATAAAATTTGAGGAGTTCCCTCGATTTCCATGGATCCCCTCATCAGATATTGACTTGATGACAATGGGACTACCATGAGAGTGCACCCTTTCAAACAAAAAAAGGCTTTTCAAAATCGGTCTACAATTGACAGAGAAATCTGAAAACATACTTACAGCCGAACGTATAACCTCTTCCTTTTTTTTGAAGTTGGTTAAAAAGTGTCAGATAATACAACAAAAACTTAAAAGTTTATATTTGATAAATTTATTATGTTTTGTAAATTGTCATGAAAGAAAAGTTGTTGTTTATGATATTAGTAATATAATCCTCTGAGGTTGTTAGTAACCCTGTTATTGAATACACAACCAGAGAAAATAATGCAATATCTCCATTTTCCTTCATTATGGGTACTGCTTCCTAGTCCAGGAGACCGGCATTATTTTTGCGGGCGGCGGCGTATAGGCGGGCAGTTCTTGCTGTCGAGGAACCCGATACCGTCTGATTTACGACTCTTGTCTCTAACGTCGCCAAAACTTTACCATCAACCCGTTCCCTATCAGATGCTTTGACGCCAACTTAAACAAATAAGTCAGCTTATTAAAATTTTATTATCCTTATTGTTGCCAAGAAAGCTTTTTATTACTGCGATATTTATGATGATCGCACACTACAACACAAAACAAAATGTATACGTATAATATCTGTAATTAAAATGAAAATATTTTGTGACATTTGTGGATTGGTAAGTAATGTAGCCTTTTGGCGCACCATTTTATTAAAAATCACATGTTTTTATACCAAGAAAAAAGTTTTGCTCTACGAAAATGTTATTTGATAAAGGAAGTGGTCTAAACAGGAAATCATCATCATCATGGCGGCATTTTTCTAATCTAATCGTGGATCTGGTCTGTCTCGCCGTCTGATATCAGCTCGGGGTTTCCATTCAAGTACACGCCTTATCTAGCGCCTCTTGTACATTCTCGCAATGTTCTTCGCCCATTTTTTCTTCGTTACGGCAACCATGACATCTTTGATTTTGATTCTACACGTATTTCGGATACAATAGTGACCTCCTTTTCGATTTCGCAGGGTGACTCCGAGCATTGCTCTCTCCATGTCTTTCTGCACGATTACGAACTTCTCGGCGGACTTCTGTATAAGAGTCATGATTTCCATACCGTTGACAAGTGCGTGCATGACGCACTGCTCGAAGACTTTGACTTTCAAATCAAATCAAATCATTTATTTCTTTGAGTAATGGTATTTTGCCACGTAGCGTTTTTTTGTTGGCACCTAATGCAGTCCACGTCTGAGCAAACCGCTTCCGCTGTTTGGTTCCCAGAGCACAGTGTAGCCTTATGTCCCAAATATACGTATACGATTATTCTCTCCACTGGAAGCTGGTACTTTGTGACTTTAGGAATGTTGATCATGATCTTAGTTTTCCCAATGTTTATTTTAAGGCCAGTCTTCCTGTATACCACCCTCAAAACCTCTAGCATCGTCATCATATTCTCAGATTGGTAAGTCTCTATCAATCATCAACTCTTTCCCAGTCCACTGCATCTGTTGGAATATGTATTCTAGTGCTAAGGTGATATTGTGTCTCCTTGCCTAACTTTATTGCCTCTCTAGATAGAATTTGTTGGTTTTGTGCAGGGAGACACTGGCGGTGGCGTTGAACATAAACGGGAAATACGTAGTTACGTATAGTAAATTACGAAATTATACGAGATACTTGATTTGTCTGTCTAACTCTAACGGGCACCCTTGGTGTAATAAGGCTACATGTGCAAAATAACGACTTTTGAGGAGAGAGGTTTAATGTTTCTACGAAAGAAATTGGTCGAAATTTTTTTCTACTTTAATAAGAGAGTTATAAAATTTAAAAAATTAAGTAGAACATAGTAACGAGTAGTAATTAACTACTCGTTACTATGTTCTGCTTAATTTTTTTCATAAATTTCTGATTATTTTTATGATTTTCAGTGAATAAAGCACTTTTGCTGTGTAATTACATGTGACTATTATACCAAAGGTACGAACTAGTTTCTATAGATATTATTTAAATATATTTTCGCGTTCTCTTCAGGACGTTATCTAAAACATTCTTTAGTAACAAATATATAGAGCAATTACTTGTTCATATAATCTAAAATATGTGTTTATATAAAAAGTCTTATATCACTATATTACAGTAAAGGCCATGAGATAAAACTCTTAAGAATAGAGGAAAAAAATGTTTTTTCTATAAATAGACAATGGAGTTGGCGGGGTTGAAGTTCGCGCCGCGCTGGCTACGATATGACGCGTGTTATGACGTGACAGCAGCACCCAGTTTCTGTCATCCTCACCCCGTCAGCTGGCGTGATATTTTCAGCATGGCACAAGTTGTCTTACATAACTTCCTATACCGACGACTAGAGGTGGGCGTTTAAATGAAAAGCTCTTAAAAAAGTTTACTTTTTAAAATAAGCACTTAAGCACGCTTTTCAATTTAAGCGTAAGCGTTAACAACGTACTTATGTTTCAAGTCCCGCCATCTATGTTTCCTAAACAAATCAATTCATCAATGTGAATAAAAATTTTATAAATAAAAATTAAACTCGAGTTTTACAAATGAACTTACATCTTAAAACCTTTACTGGTCTACACTTGCTTTTCGCTATCAACACAACGTTACAAGCTTTTTTTAACTTAAAAACTTGAAATTAAAAAGCGTTTAAGTGAAAAGTTTAGAAAAGCACGCTTTTTTAAAAAAGCACAACGTTTTAGCGTTTACAAAAATAAGTTTTTCCCATCTCTACCGACGACAAACCTAGAGAGTGGGTTACTCATCCATTAATTTACATTAGGATTTTTTCTAGAGCTTTAAATTGCAATTTTGATCTATAAGTATCGGCACGCTATGACAGTCGTTTTGACGTTTGTCCGCTCATCAAGTTTCGTATTAAATCATAACTAAGCTAATTGATGTACATTGTTGTCAATAGTGACGTGCAGTAAAATTTACGGATTTATAATTTTACGACACAACTTGGCATTTGTTTGTCGAAATTTGATATTAAAAAAAATTAAATACATTACCATCGTTACTTATAGGATAGCCTTTCAGCATAACTTCTACATCCGGCAAACTCGCGTCAAAACTCAATGCAAAACAAAGCAGTTTCGAATTGACGATATATTAAGTAAACATTTTTATTTTCGTTTTATTAAAACTTTTTTATCAGCTACCCCTTGCAATACTAGTTATAAACCTAAAAACATATATTTCGCATTTGATTATATTTTTTTCGATAATGAATTGAGATTTGATCTCGCTATTGTAATCTGTCAAAACGGCCATCATAGTGTGCCGGTAAGAGATATTACAATAGGTATTTTCGTTGTCGTCGGATGATGAACCACCGTATCTGTATCTCATTACTACTACGAAAAAAACAAAAAATTAAAGTCAGCCAGAAGAAAGATGCAGCTGAATATTTTCGGCAATAACGTATTTACATCACTGTTCTACATAATGCGTAAATACAAAATGCGTTTTGCGTGCCGATTTGTAAGCGGCCTGGAATTTGTCCCACATTGTACATGCATACGTTTTTATGACATGCTATTTCTGCTTCACAGGTCGTTTTATTAATGTTTAATAAAATAAGTTTTAATAGCAAATGGATAATATTATTTTGATATCCAGAACATAACAGAAAAATGTAATGTAGTTTGTGTTATTATGCGGTAATGAATGATTTAAACATTAATTATTTACACATATATTACATAGAAATAATAACATTCACTATCCGTGTGAAGTTTTTCTTCAAAGGAAGCTACGGGATCAAGAGGTCCCTCGGGTACTCGCTAAAATATTATACTACTCATCAACTACTACTACTACTACTACTACGACTATTAAAATACTCGTTATCAACCTGACACATAAGTTTTTTTGCCTAGATTGCTATCAATTATCCATTCAGCCGTCATGTTGTCAACCAGATTATTCGAACATTTTTTTTTTAAATGGTACACCACTTAATCTGATCACATTACAGATTTGATCATGTTATAATATAGGTTGTACATTAGTAACTTAAAAAATGAACGGTGCTAACTCCTGAACTAAGTTAAAATAACCAATGACCTATTTTCATGTAATTATAATACATTTACATTTATAATACATTTACACGCCCGTAAATGAATTATAATAAACATAAAAGAATAAGAAAAGATATGACGCTTTAACTTACAATATGCAGCTTGATGCTAATTGATTATTTCAGCAACTTTTTTTCATGTACTTTTCAAAACTTATGTTATATGTAGAGTAAACTAACTTTTCTATATTGTCTTGGGTCTTTGTATTTGTACTTTGTATTGGTACAGTCGTTGTTTCCGATTTTCATAACACAAGTGATTTAGTTATTTACTTTGGGATCAGAGCAACGTATGTGATGGTATCTAATATTTATTTATTTATAATATTAAGTGACGGGGTGAACAAATCCTGCACCTTGTGGTAAGCGATACGCTTGTCCATAACAGTTGCAGTGCCTTACCTTTCAAAACTGACAGGTGGCAGTACTTCCATGAACGAACTCTTTCACAAGGAGCTTACTTTTACTGCTATTAAAATGATCAAATCTGATCTGATAGTCTATATTGTAACTGTTTAGATGCTGAAGTCGTGCAGGCAACTGACTATGACGGTGCGAACGTCAGGAGCGTTGCTGAGCCGCGCGTCGTGCTCGTGGATGGACCGGTATGGACGGCCCGCGTCACCTCCGCCCCTGCGGCCGCCTCGCTCGGCCAGCAAAGACCGCTCGATACGAAGGGTAAGCCGAATTTATATATCTCCTGGACTCAAATTCAAACCACCTTGTATTTTCAGTATTCAATGCTTTAAGTAAGTAATTATGTTTGATCAAAAACTATTATGCAATTTTGAAACTGGTATGCTAAACGTCATTTTCATATGTGGGTAATTTTCATGTTAGTTTTTTCTACCTAATTTTGGTGGCAATTTTTATTATGTAAATATTCTATAATATTAGCGTAAAGTATACTTAATATTTGAGTGTAGTATCAAAAATGTTATTTAATATTTCAGTGTAATATATTCAAATACTTAAATAATAAAAATTGCCACCGAAATTAGGTAGAGAAAATTAAAATTACCCATGTCCTTTGTGAAAAATTTGGATTTCTAATAACCAGGATGAGCTTTTTCTTCTTATTACAATATTTGTGTATTTTAGCCATTTAAAAATAAAAATGTAAAATAGCTTGAATTATGGGTCGGGTATTATATATTATAAAAGAAATTGGTAGAGCGGGAAACATACTCGTACCAATTTAATTGTACTGATAATTGAAAAGTTCATATGAGGAAAACAGAAACGGATATGTTTTGTTTGTCATTCTCGTGACTATCCTACGTATTCCTTTTGTTATATTGCAATGTGATACATATCCAAACTAATATTATAAATGCGAGAGTAATTCTGTCTGTCTATACGCCTAAACTGCTGATTCAAATTTGATGAAGTTTGATACAGAGATAGATAGACCCTTGTCACAAAAATTAATCTTAAAGGAGGTAAAAGTAACGTAAAAAGACGAACTGACCCCTATTTCACCGGCTGCCCGAATTATTTATTTTACGCAGATGACGTCGCGGGCACCAACTACTAGTACATAATAATTTTAGAGATATAAATCAAATGCGACTGCCATTATTTGCGATGACATTCGTGTGACGATGACGACTAACTATAATGGCTATAATTGTTCATGTGGTCATAAAATATTACGACCAATTTTGTGGTCGTAAATACGCGAATACACATATTAATAGGCGTGAGAGGGAGGGGCTTGTCGTATGGCGGTATGCTAATTGGTGTCCGGCAGCAGTAAATTCTGTCGTTAGTGGTTGTAATAAGGCTGAATGTGTGGTACCATCGTCGTGCCTACGTTGCCGACGATGTTGTCGTCAACTTCGGCCTACCGCTTGCTGTCCACCTTTCGATCCGCGTGATCACGGTAAGCAATGGCAAATTAACTGTTTTATTATAATTATTAATACAAAGATCGAACACGGTTGGAGTCCTGTCAGATCGAAGGAGTTTTTCATTGTGTTCGATCTTTGTATTAATAATTTTAGGAAATTAGAGGAGTCATTTAAAAAATAATAATATCGTGGTAGTGAAACATCAAAATATTCATTATAAATAAAATTAACTGTTTTTAAATGTATTTTTAGCATATCCTTGACGCAGGGCCTTTGAAATCGGGTAGTTCATAAGCATTTAACTCCTAATTTATAAGTATACCAACGTAAGTAAGCAAATTTATATAAGTAAGCCCTTATTTATATAACTTATTTGTTACAGGTGGACCTCTGTATCGAGCCTGGTCAGTCATTAGGACTTATGATCAGAGGAGGATTGGAGTACAATCTCGGCATCTACATCACAGGTGTTGATAAGGATTCCGTTGCAGATAGATCGGGACTCATGGTATGTTCTTCTGTAAATCACATAATTCACATTTTTGCCATAGAGAATTGTTGTTATTTGTTTTCATCATTTAGTCATACAAGTCCAGTGCCGGTGCTAGCCCATCTGGAGCCCGGGTCCAATCAATACCCTGGTCCCTCTAGTAGGCACACGATCAAAATGGAATACTTCAGTTATATTTTCCCCAGTGATCGGAAATTTGGGTGCAAATGGTTCAATTATAAATTATGTTGGGAAGCAATTGTCTGTTTACTTCTAACAATAATACCATGCGCCCGTGTGCGCCGTACACCCTACAATGTAGGTATAGCCGGTAGAGATGGAAAATACTGCTTATTTTTAAACGTTAAAACGTACTTTTTTTGAAGAGTGGGCTTAAAAAAAGATTTTCACTTACCTAAACGCGTTTTAGTTTAAAGCTTAAAAAATCATTTAGAAAAACATTTCAGCGCATAGACTTCTATGTTAAAAAAACTTGTAATGTTGTGTTGATAGAGAAAAGCAAGAGAAGACCACAAAAGGCTTAAGATAAATAAGTTTATTTGCGAAACATTATTTTTATTTATAAAATTATTATTCACATTGACAAGTTAATTTGTTTATGAAAGATGGCGGGACTTGAAACATAAGCACGTTGTAAAAAATGAACTGACCGACGCTTAAATTGAAAGACGTGCTTATGTGCTTATTTTAATAATATAATCTCAGACCTCAAAAGTCATTCATCCCCTTGTTTACCACCCTTAGAATTGGAATATTTTCTTCAAATTTAAATGGGACCACATCTGAGGTACCCTCTTTCCAACAAAAATAGAATCATCAAAATCGGTTCACAAATACCGTGAGTTATCGCGTAACATACGTACAAAAAAAACATACAGTCGAATTAAGAATCTCCTCTGTTTTTTGAACTCGGTTAAAAAGCAATTTTTTTAAGTGCTTTTCGTTTAAATGCCCACCTCTTTTAGCCGGCATTGTATAAGTCCTTGCTAGACGTGTCTCCATTAAGTTGACGGTTATTTGCTGTAGTCCACAATGCTGCAATGGGCCAATGCATCTTTACATTGCTTGAAGACTTATGTGAATCTTTTCCAACATACAGGTTTAGCGTTGATTTCGTAAATTAAACTGCACTTGATTCGAAAAGATTACTGAGAACACTGCTTTATGCAATCGAACCTGCGATCTCCTTCGTGAGGGCAAAGTTGGTCCCTGAAAGTCTATCACTGCTTTATAAACTGAGAAATATTTTTCTCATCGTAAAATTTGTAAACGGTACCTATTTATAATGTCAATCGGATTTCTCTTTTATCTTTCGTAAAAAAAGTAGGTCAAGGCCTCAGAGTTCGCTGACAACCAACAAGACAAGTTGAATAGTGTATTGTGATTTAGATTATATAGGGGCGCGATACAAAGGTTTTATATTTTACCCATTTATTTGGGGCGTACAATCGATACAGGGTAGTGAAAATATAGTGGGCTCAAACTGCTTTGCCTTTGTCTTTGTACAATAAGGTTACCTTCAACATCTACAAGGCTATTGTTGCGGTTACGAAGACCAGAATGTAACGTTAAAACTAAAAAAATGCATATATAATTGTGCAACTATAAACGAGCCCTTGTCTCGTAATGCGCGGTAATGGTGCATGGTTGAAATAAGCCAGGAGCGTATGGGCTCTTCGGGTTTACCTTCCTTTATATCTTGTCCCTAATAGACGTCACTGGATCATCCGTATCGCTACTCTTTGATTTAGTTTTGAGTATGTACTTATATGGCGGCCCTATTGTCAAATGACAGAAATAATATATTGACCTCAAATTTTGATTTAGGAATTAACTTTCTGGCGGATCGCGACTGTAATTTTTTTCGACTGCCATTTTATAGTCGCTATCTCGATTTCTTGGACAACGGTAGCTGATTCCTACACTCAACCACATTCCTTCGAGCTATGTTTAATAATTCCACTATATTTAATAGTTCCTAAGGAGGGAGATTTTGACATTACTTTCGTTAAGCGGTGTTGACTTAATTTTTCAAATATTTATAAGAGCGGCAGAAATAGCTCAGGGAGTATCTATTATAATGCAAAATATTCTTCAAAGTATTATGGTTTTTGCAGATCATTAACTTTCTATTATTTCTATTATTCTGATAAAAATGTACACTTCCCAAATTGGTGGTAAAAAAATAATTTTAGGAATAGAAAGGTGAGCCTAATGTGGAAACATTGTGGAAACATTAGGCTCACCTTTCTATTCCTAAAATTATTTTTTTAGTGTACATTTGTACATCAAGTGTACATTTTTATCAGTGTCAACAGAAAAACACAAACAATAAACAACTTAGTTACATTTTATTTTGTTTCAATGTTTTTCATTTGGATATTTATCTTCAACACTTATTAATAAGTAATTCCAAAGCACATTTAACACATATTGTCATAACTAGATAAATAACAAATCAAGAACAATTTCTATTTGGATTTTACAAAACACAATTACGCGAATCTTTCAAAGTAATGCCAAGTGTCTCTGGATTTGCGGAATAAGTTCGCATGTCAGACTCTCCAAGAACTTTGTCGTCTGTCGTATAGTTTGGTAAATTGCTCATTTGCCTTCCATTAAACTTGACAACTTCCGGAGAAAAAATCGTTTTACAATAAACTGTTTACCTGCACTTTATTACTTTGTATTTGGTTTTCAACGACTTTTTAGCCGTAGCGTCATCTATGACGAATCTATGAAAGTATTTCGTCACTCAGATACCTTTACAGCTACCAGCCCTGACTCTGACCCTGAGATGTCTCTATTAACTTCTTAAATAAATTTTTATTGAATTGGTATTCAATTATTTTTTTATGAAATTACTCCTCTAGTTTGTTATACTCGTAATTATTAATACAACGATCGAACGTTTAGAAAAATTTCCCTCGATTCAGCCGGATTCGAACCGACATCTTCTAGCAAGCTAAGCCTAATACGTAAATTACTAACGGGCTATCGTGCCAGAACATCAGGGTAGTATTTCATTTCTATTTCTCTTTGCAAGTTTTCGAGTGAAAACGCCTGGAGCTAGGTGTGGCTAGAAATTTATAGTGTTTGAGTTTGCACGGTCGCCTCCACGTTACTTTCGAACCTCATAAACTATTTACTTTTAACTATAACTTTTGGCTTCCAAAAGTATTTTACCTTAAAGCTACCAAAAAACCACTCTTATTAAGTATGTATATATGTATTTTAAATTGTCTGCTTCCGAACATTTAGGATTTTCTAGCAAGATCACGAGTGTTCAGTTTGACCTTTCTGAGACTTGAGACAGATACTTTCAGTCCGAGAATGTCGAGACTGTTAAGACTTAAGTAACTTAATTAAGCAGTATTAAAAAATTTACTAAACTAATGGTAATTTGTTATTCCGGTTACATTGATTTGATTGTGTAATCTATGGAATTGAAGAACCATTGTAATAAAATCAGGTCCTCTTTGTCTGAAATTACATTAAACGCCCTTTGGATGAAAAAACTTTCGTAAATAAATTGTGATTTTATAATTTGATGTACTTGGTACTTGGTACTTGGTGTAACGGGCTGGTGTCCGCAACTCGACGACAAGGCGCCTATTTTGCGTGTGTAATTTGATGTAATAATGAACTTGAATAAATCTCATGTTTTGATTGCCTAAAGGCCTAGCCTATAATTATCGAAACCTACTTCTGAAATAGTTTCGAAAGTCTCGTTTTCCCGATATTTTTGGAACCGCACAGAGTCCTGACTATTTATCCGAGATGCGGAAATGCAGCAAGGTTGAAAGCTCTCGTTAATATATCTAAAAATTGAATAACTCGTATTCGATTTTATTTTTGACAAACTTACAACAATGACCACTTGCTATTCAGTACATGTAATCATTGATCGCCAGGTGGGTGACCAGATCCTGGAAGTGAATGGACAGTCGTTCGTGGACGTAACACACGATGAGGCAGTCGCTCAACTCAAGTATCACAAAAGGATGTCGTTGCTCGTGCGTGATGTGGGGAAAGTCCCCCATGCGTGTACTGCTTACGGGGAGAGAGATGCGACACCAAGGTATTGTTTTGATACATTTAAATGTAAGACAACATCACATACGTTGCATAGCACTTGTGTTGCACAATGGAAATCGGAAACAACGACGGTACCAGGCTGGTTTTTACCTAGACACGAGACAATATAGAAAAGTTAGGTTCCTACATTGACACCACGAAAACCGGCTTGCAAGCCACTCGACCACGGAAATCGTCTAAAGGTAAAGTCGGGCTATTTTAATGCAATGTATTTTCAGTATCTTCCTCATGTTTGTTTCATAAAATAATTATGGTTGACGTTTATGAATTTTATAAAACGTAAAATAATTGTCGATATGGTAGTTATGTGGTCGTTATACAATACGTTTGGGATATTGAGTATTGAGGGTAGACTCTAGAGGTTAATAAGCGATTTGTAGCTGTTACCTTATTCCCTTGGCTAAACAATTTAAAAGTACTTGTCTCTAAATGACATTGAGATAAATTTAGTTATTTTTATTTATTCTCCAAAACATAAGTCTAATGTTATAAAGTTTCAGTTTTTAATTAAAGTTGCATCCACACTTTGTTGCCAAACATTAAATGTTCAATTTTGTTACCAAACTTGTCAACTTACTTTGGGTGATGGGCGCAGTGGCAGTGTCCCTTAGATCTTTGCGATTTAAAGCACTGATGGGCTCTGCAACTGTTATGGACAGGCGTTCTGCTTACCACCAGGCGCACGAGGGTAACTTTCAGGGGAGTTTTCTCCATCTAAACTCGGTGGCAATTTTTATTATTTAAATATTCTGGAATATTATCATGAAGTGGTGTTTAATATTCGAGTTTAGTATCCTGAAATATTATTTAATACTTCACGATAATATACTCGAATACTTAAATAATAAAAATTGCCACCGAAATTAGATAGAAATAACTGACATGAAAATTACCCACGACTTATTCGTTTCGTCACTTGGTACCAAAAAAAAAATGTATTATTTTTGTTTCATAGGATCAGTGGGTGGGGTAAAAGGAGAGGCGCGGCGTCATTAGCGGTAGAGCAGAAAGCTCGTTCGCTACTGCCAGCTAGTGACTTGCCGGCGATGGCGTACTATATGGAAGAGTATGCGGCGAGGAGACTTACTCCTGATGCCTTCCTTACGGTGCTACGGGATCTCTTGGATACACCACAGAAGGTGAGTTAAGGAGTGATCTTAGACTGTCTTTGGTAAACTGTTTATTCCTATTGTGGATACCTATTTATAGTACACTATATCATAACTTCGCAGTGCTTTGCGTGACTAATGGTTGTATGCATATGTGATTATACTCTACCAACATGTGGATATCCATTATAGTAGACAGACAAATTATTATAAAACTGCGCAAGAAAGGTCCTTGCTCCAGGCAAGGCGTACCTGAATTAAACTATTTTTTCGGTCTAAATCGCAAATATTTGTTTTTCTAGCAACTAACCTTTACAGGTCCCATAGTCACGGCTGACTGTGTAACTTATGTATAACAAGAACTCGATACCTAAGAATTCGATACGTACCTGAATTTTTCTTATATTTAAAAGTTGCCTGGAAGAAAATGTTACAATTGTTTATTTTGTCCTGTCCGTGTTTTTGTACTTGCAATGTGATATAGAATTGAAGTTCTACTACGACCGTTAAAAAATATGAAACTAGACTACACAACTAAATTTACACTTCTAACTACAACTGTTTACGTACAATGTAGGAGTAACATTTTTTTAACTAGATATCGGAAACTTCTTATTACTATTTAAGATGTGTGCATATTTCTAATGCCGAATCGATGTCTATAAATAATTCACTGCTTTGGTTTTTTTTATACAAAATTCTTCGTATATAACTTATTTTTATAAAAGGAATTAACTAAATTTTGATTTGGACACTGACGTCTGTTTTTATATGTAAAATAAAAAAAAGTGTACTCTTAGGACCTAAAAATCTTTGCACTCCACTGTTATTCACTGTTTTCGTATTGCCTATTATGTATGAAAACTTACAAAACATTTGAGCTATATGAGCCCGGGAAAATCTTACCAGCGCGATTCGGAAATTTGATTAAACGTTACCAACGCCATCTAGTATTAACAAAACCAATTAACCGTATTTGCTCTCTACATTATACCTAAAATTTACTTAATGTTTTAGTGAAGGACAATTTTATACAAAAATAGTCATTAAAATAAATAAAGATTATGTTTACACAACAAACTACGTATACGTGTTAAAAGGGAAACTCCAGAATTTTAGCTTTTCCATATAAGTAACAAATAAAATTCATGAGTCATGTTTTAGTTTCTTTAAAAATTACTTTAATTCGCTCTCCTGTAATATTTTCCAAATGCACGTTAGTCGTTTTGCCTTTCCAGTTTCGATTAATATTGTATGTAGTAAGAGACATTTGTTTTTCATCCTTAAAGAGATGGCTTAAGTACTTTTTTTTTCTTTCCAATATTTAACTACGCACTCGTAACTACTACGCTTGCGTTACTATATATAACTTGATACGATAATTGAACTGAAATTAATGTCGTTAAAACGATCATTAATCAATTTCATTTGGGTCGTTTGCTTGCGTCTGTAGCAGGACTGTTCCAAATTTAATACAATCCGTTTCACTCAATCCAATGAACACATGATGTAGCTCTTTATACATCAAAATTGCTTAATGAGATGTTTACCAATGAAAAGTATGTATACCTATCTAAAAAATATATACAACATTAAATGATACTTAAAATGACAACAGTCTAGTACTCGAGCTACGGAAAAGTTTGCAAATTTATTTTTTCCATCTATGTATATTGCACTGATAATACAAATTGTATATTAACTCAAAAAGTGTATTGTATTTTAGAATCAAAGTAAAACAAATTACTCACTTCCCGTGGTATGTTACTATAATTTATGTATAGGTTAAAGTTTACTACAGACATCTAAACAATGTTTTTGTATTGTGCGTATTAAAGAGTACAATAAAATATCAAATCTCCACGATTTAAATCTTCTTCTATAGTAGTAAAGTTTTTGAACCATTAAAACTACTATGAAACTGTTTATGCTACTAAATTAAATTGCGTACGTGGTCATCTCTTATCGGAGCTCGTTCGAAACTCAAAACAGCATCTCATGGATCCAATTGATTTATGTCGAAACATTAACGCGAACGTGAGATCACACAGAACGTAAACGAATGGAATATATTAATTGAACATCGTTGACTGAACTAGTGCTATAAATTTAGTTACAATTGTTGGATGTTACTTCTAAACACGCTAAGTATTCTTACGAGGGGCGGCTGAATTATGAGATAAAAGACGACGATGGCTACTTTTTCAATTTGAAATTTACTTAAGAAATGTAAAAATAGGAAACATATTATTTGTTAGTCTATTTAAAAAAGTTATTGCTCCTTTTTTAAAGTCTTGCTATTTTCATAATATTTACGGAAAATACAAAATGGCGAAAGACGCAATAAACAAAAGAGTGTCATTGATCTGTGGTGTCATTAATTTTGAAAATATAATAAACAATATATTCGTCACGATAGTTCCCTGTATTATTTTTGAATTGGTAATAGTCAAAAGATATTACTTTTTAGCCGCCACTCGTTCCTACCCATATCAAATGCAGGATTTGGATCGATACGAAACCCTGTTTTTCTAATTAATACGAATGTTTTTCTTTCAATGTCAATGATGATGATTAGTGCTTAAAATTAAAATATTGTGCTGTTACTGTACTAACTGCATGATTTCTGTACTGTGACGATTGTGTTCCAGTACACACTTCTGACAGAAATCAGGGAGTTCTTACTTTTCAGCCGCCCCTCGTTCCTACCCATATCAAATGCAGGATTTGGATCGATAGGAAACCCTGTTTTTTTAATTAATGCGAATGTGTTTCTTTGAATATTAATGATGATGATTAGTGCTTAAAATCAAAATATTGTGCTGTTACTGTACTAACTATATGATTTCTGCACTGTGACGATTGTGTTCCAGTACACACTTCTGACAGAAATCAGGGAGTTCTTGCTGCCGGAAGACAGACCAAGATTTGACGAGCTTGTCTACAGGCGCGGAGAAGAACCATTCGATCATCATATAAAGGTATAACAGCTTCTGTGCTTGACATTACCTTACCCTTTTGTTAACTGTAGATGTACACTCAAGGCGTAGAGTTTTTTATTGCAGGTAGTAACTAACTTAACCTAAAATTTAGGGCATTTGCACCAAAAACATGAGGATAATTTCGTGAACAAAACTGCGGCTTACTATGAAAGCCATATTTAGCCTCTTTTCTTAGCAAGCGTAGTATAAACGTATTTTTGTCGTGTTCATTACCCAACCTGCAGTGAATAATCTCATAATCCAGCTCCACCTGGAGGCACTAATTAGAATTTCGCGCTCCGTTAGGGACGCAAACTTCAACTCAACGTTAATTTGGCGTTTTTCATTCGAATCATTACCGTAGTCCGCTCTCGTCTCAGCACAAATTGCCCAACATTCTCGTATTGGTAGCGGAAATTGGAGGTAATATTATAGAACTTCCACATACATTATTCATATTTCGAACACTTAGAATTCAGAGCACTCATTATATTTTTCCGCGAAATCATACTTTTATGATACATTAAAATATTTATGTAATTGATACGGAAGGGCACAAGATCTCTTATGTTATGAGTATACTTGGCATTGCTTACGAGTACATGTGACTTTAGCACCTTTTTAGAAATGAAATTAGCTTTGTAGTATCAGGTGCTTTATTTGCTATTCAGTGACTCATCTTATGGTAGCAAGTTAAAGGCTAGTATTAGGCGGGGACTTAAGTAGCAAATACAAGTGTATGGAATAGTTGATGCTGGATTTGTCCGTAGCGTGCGGCCGAGCGGCAAATGCTGCCTTCCTCGACCATGCACGAGTTGCACGACCCGGTAAGTGCACACGCACTTTAGATTAAACTTCTGTGTTGTTTGCATGTTGATGTTTTTCTTTAAATTTTAATACATCGGCCAGATTATTGAGATCTCCGAAAAAAGTATAAAATAACAAGTTTCAATGGCTTACTATTATTATTATTATATACTACAAGTATTTATGAATATTTTAAGCAATAAGGAATGTGTAAGGGAAACGAGATCTCTTTAATCATAGTCTAATGAGAAATGGTATAATTTAATTATTTTGCTTACAGTTGTATTTTTTTAAATACCTATGTACCTGATTACCTGTAGTATCTTATTATTCTGTACTTAGATAACCTACTAGAAGAAGTAACATCTAGAAAAAAAATCACGCTTTGCGCTAAGTCAGCCAGGTGTGATAAATTGTATATGATAACCTTTTTATCACCACAACAAAAGGTAGCTAAAAGTGTTTTGGACCATTCATCGAAGTATTAACAATAGCCAGTCTTTTTGTCAACAGTTTTTAGGAGATGAGTTACACCATTTTATCGGTAATCTTATTCCGTTTGCAAAGGACACGCGGATTGAAAATAGGCAAAACTATATATATTTAACCCAAAAATGACACCGAAATTAAGTCATCAAGAGCGTAAGTTTCCTCAGTTCCGTAGGAAGAAAACGTTTTGGAATAGGGCGATGAGGTTGAGGGTTGTTGTTGTAGGAGGGGCCGTCAGAGGCAGTGCTCGTGGCCGACCACCGCTCCCCCTCCGAGGACTCCGGGCTCGGCCTGCCGCCGCACGACCACGCTTACAGGTGACTAAACCACCTCCTTCAAGGTGTAATTTTGGAACATAGGCAGGAAAGTAGGTGCGTGTGCGTGTAAAGGATACTAACAACCAAAGTTTGAAATGCGAAAATAGCGCTGATTTTTCCATGTAATGACAATTTTTCGCGGCCTCTACGTTACGAGTAGGTTTCTATTCGCATCTAGTCGTAATGAGCACGGTATAACTCCTGACCCTGATTAGACGTTAAAGTGCCCTCTAGAGTACGAAAGCAAAGGCTAAGTCCTCGTTTAGCATTCGCTTTTGTCCGCACTTTTACATCTCCCCGTCGTTTTCACAGACTCTTGTCTAAGATCTCGGTCTCGTGGCAGAGCATCTCATTGGCTGCCCGCCAGAACTTCCACTTTTATTTCTCATCTGAATCGATTGCTTTACGGTCGGTTAAGCGTTAGTTTTTAGTGTCACCGGCGTATTTATGTCCCGTTGTCCTGCAATTGGTACGGTTAATTTAAATTTTATTATCAGTAAAAGAGCTGCGTGGTCGACATTTTATAATATTCTATTCTCTTGAAACCTTTTAATATATCATCTATTATCATTCAATACCACGAAAGAAACAGTATTAAATTCGATTATATCATTTAAACTTATCGTGAAGATTATCTAATCTAATGTGCATGTGAAACCCGTAAAAATTTATTACTGGTTTCGCATAGTTCTTCCGTGTACACACCGATGATGTTATAGGCGTTGTCTTTATACTGTAGTGTGTGCCGTTTGGTCCAGTTTTTGACTATACGTGATGTTGTGGGGCAGGAGCGGGCGCGGGTGGCGCGCGACCGCCGACGCGCCGCCGCCTGATGACGACCTGGAGCCACCGCACGAGGTGATTTTGCCAGAATTACCTTCTTACACATCTACTATTAAGTCGACCACATCCACTTCTCGACGCCTATCTAGCATACCTGAGTGTCACTCTAGAACTCATCAGATACTTTTCACATCTTCTTGCGGTCTTTTTTTCATTTACTTATCAAATGGCCTATAGCTTTAAATAAAAACTAAAAAACCGGGGTCATAAAGGACAGTTGTAATTATCTAAAGTCAACTCCTTTGCAAAGGCGCACGCATAAAGATGGGTCGTTGCTTTCGTCTTGATCCTTTAATTGCCTACAAGCCTTTCATAGATCAGTGCGTCTTTGTTTCCTCATACTCTTTCCAAATTAACGAGTAGCTTAAGCCGGAGTGGCATCTCGGCACTATCACAAAGTTCGTGCTCACATTTTCTTGCATGACGCGGTAACGGCTAGTCAGTAGAATTTCTCATCCTCACATGGCCGTTATTTCCTGTAAACAGAATCGAGGGGTAAATCTGGCAAAATTGAACCATTTCATCACTCAAAGTGGTCGGCAGCATTACAATTTGGCTAAAACTATACTAACACATCGGTAATAGCGGCCAGCTACTGTGTTCTCTTCTCAAACTATTAGATTAGAATAGATAAGTAAATGTAGAGACGTGACTTTCTGTACAGACTGTCTTTCTTGGCGCTCTATTTATAGTAATTTTGAATTATTTTTTTTTTATAGTCAGTAATATTCTAAGTGTTTTTTGAATAAAAATAATAAACCTAAAAACCTCGGTACAGTTGTTTAAACGAAGGTTCTTGCTTTACCGAGACCATAAAGAAGCCTAATTGAAATGTGCACTAATCATCATACACATCAAGTGCATCATCAATCACGTCATAGATAACAATTTAACACGAGTGCGTATATTAGGCGACGAAATTAGGCTATTGCCTTAGCGGCTCGTTGGTCTAGGGGTATGATTCTCGCTTCGGGTGCGAGAGGTCCCGGGTTCAAATCCCGGACGAGCCCGTGTCAGCCGTTTTTTTTAAATTGTTTTGTTTTTGTATATCTGAGAGTTCAAATCAATTTGTTATTGAGAGTTTTAAGAATTACAATTTATAAATTATTTATTTCATTGTATGATTCTTTCTTTGCATATAGTATGATGATTGTCACTATAAAAGGTAACAAAAGAGACGAAGAAAGTAATAAGCAATGGCAGGGTCATAAGGTAATCAACAGGATAGTGGCTTATATTGCCGCCATTGTATGCAAGGTGACGTTCGTAATATTTTTAACACTGGTTCTTAGTTTTAGCTAGTAAAATATTAGTAAAACGAAACACTTACTATCGATATGTAACAATATCGATAGCAAAGACTCCATTACAATTCCATCTTTGTTTATGTCTTTAAGCTCTATAATTTAAGCAAAATCGACGTAGAAAAGATAAAAATTGCTCTAATTTGCTCGTGTCTTGTCCAATGCAGTTTTATCTCTCGGAACGGAAATATGATCTTGCAGAATGGACAGACACAGGGATCGTCTATTTCATTAATTTTGTAAAAGTTTACATGCAACCTAACTGTAAAACGTACTCACTTTATAATATATCTGTAAAATGTACATCCTTATTTAACAGTTTTCATTTTTGTGATGTTTGGTAGGCAATATAATAACCCCAAATACGGCACGTACAAAATGTGAAGACGTAAATAGAAATAAAGTTAGTTAGAAATAAAATTGTCACTTCCAACACCTTTTTTCCTAGTAAAATAAAACCCTTCCTTAATAAGTCTTCTCACGTGTATTGAATGCTGAATTAGAGAACATTTCTACTTCTATTACGCTATAAGATTTTGTAATCGTAGTTGTCCGAGTTTTGCTTCGAACATGCTTCTATTACTATCGAAAATTTATTTTGTAATCAAAACTTAAAGAAAACAAATAGATCACTCATAGCTTAAATGGAAACTAAAACGTACGTAGTATCTATCGTCGCTGTCTCTGCCCCCCAATTATAATTAAAATAAATGCTTTCTTCGTTATGTTTGGTTACAAACAGAATGCCTAAACAGCTCTTAAATGGCCTTATGGCGTCAGCAATTCTAGAGGGAGACAGTATCGTGGCCATTTTGTGACGTCATATAGATAGCGTCGTTGGTTTAACTTCGACTAATCAACTTTTGCGGGACTCTCCCGGTTCAGTTATTTTTAGAAGCAGGGCAGTTTTTTATTGTATTTTTGTACGTCTAATTTTTACATTTTGTACTTGAAATACAACAGTCTTAATTATAACTATATTATTTGCCGATAGCGGCAATGAATGCTTGAATAATAAAAGCGTATATCGCTGCGCTGGTTCAGTACATGGTTTAAATGTGATGGTTATTGTTAGGATGGCAGAATAACAGAAGTGGAAAATTCTTGTAATAGAAAGGTGTTATGATTAGATTATAATTGGAAATGTCTTATCCCAACCACCGTACAGCTTTGATGCGAAATATTATTATTGTATTATACCAACGATACAACACAAAGAGATGCTATAGAACCATTTAATCAAATAACAATCTACTTTAAAATGGGTATGGTGTACCTTGCTGAGAAATGTACGGTAAACAACAAATACTCGTATATGATACATGTTAAATTTACAAACAAATAAATGTAAAATTTCGTGGTGTTTCTTTAATTTAGGATACTAGTTACTTAAAAGAAATTAATCCTTATAATTGAGCATTTGGATCGGTATTTTTTCAAAAAGAAATTTTTTGCACATTTCGTAGATTACCAGATGATGCAGACAACTTTTAAAAGTCTTTGAATGCAGTATTACTTACTTTTAAAATTGTTCATGAAGCAAAGTATGCTATCTACAACATGAAGTACTTTCCCTCTGTGTCCCATAGTTGTGTGATGCCCCGTGAATCATCATTTCATTGCAATTTAAAAAAAAATGCAAATTCATTCGCTCTTTATGAATATAAAAATAAACTGTTGAATAACAGTTTATTTTTTTGTCTTAGAATGTTCCATATTTAGAAATGTCCTGACGTCCTAATCAAAATTTTAGTATAAACCAATAAACTTAAATTTTTTGCGTGTTTAAATCCGTATAGTATAAAGTTCAACAAGTATACATTGATACACGTTTTGGATACATAAAGAGTATGTATTCAAAACGTGTGGAACATCAAACGTGAGCATTGCTAATGGGTCTCTCGGGAACCATCGACCACTGCGCATGCTCCAAATTTTTTGCGATTACGTCAACTTGCATTTCCTGAATTAATATTATAACATGTTGCTTCTGTATTCTTCGGTTACACTGCAATGATCACTCCTGTTACCTATACAAATATCTAAATTTAGGTATTTGGGACATTAATGTTCAAGTCAAAAATAAAAGTAATAAACCTAGAAAAATGTGTGTGTTAAACATATTCACGTTACAAAATATGTACTCGCCAAAAATGAGTTTTTATTTATATTATTATTTATTCGAAAACGGTACAGATATCACTTACATAGTACTAATAATTCTAGAGTCTGTGGTTACTATTTTTTGTTATAATAAAATTTTCATAAAAACACTGTCTTTGTAGAGTGAATTAGGAAAAATAAGTAATAATTGACCTGAATCACCCGCCCGCCCACAGTGTAAAATTAAAATTCAAGTCATTACGTAAGGACGTATTTGCACACCATCCATTAAAAGGACAGCCACACAAAAAATGTACCCAGCACGACAAGTTGGTTGATTTAAAAAAAAAATATTTCTCTGCTATTAAGTCACTATCAATGTCAGAATAAAATGTTGTTAAATAACTTTACAAACTATATATCTCTATGGCAGCTTTGATTTAGTACTTTGCCATAGCCATATCGGTGCATATCACATCTCTGTATGAGTAGCAAAAACCTAACGGAAAGCTCGCAAACATTAAAATTGTAAAATACCCAAAACAGTAAGAAGCTATAGAAATTGAGAGCGGATTCATCGTCCACATGGATCTATTAGAGCGAATATCCCAGCGTGAAAATCTCGACACAAATGGTAGCGCTACGAAGGGCGGGTGCGTAGAGTAATGTAGTCAAAGCCCCGTGGGTTAAGTTTGGGCAGTGCGCGGCGCGTCATACCCTCGGGATGACGTCTCGCCGTCGGCCGCGGCGTCGCGTCGCCTTCCGCGACTATATTCCTATGGACGTGAAGGCAATGGCCAAGGTATCACATATTTCGAATACATTTTAAATCCTACGTTAACACTATTAGTACCTAACTTGGACATTATAAATGTCAAAAAATTATAAAGCTTACTAGTAACAAATAGAATTTTTGTGACTAAACGTTATTTCATAACGGATGAAAACAATTAATTAGTTAAATGTTTTTATCTACTTGTCAAATCACTAAGATAAGATGGAGAAATGAAACATTTTTCTCATGGGTGAAACTCAACTCAAAACTACACCTTATATTGATAAATATAATATTATCTTTTGTCATGCTTACGATAAGCCCCAATACAGCTAAAAGTTACAGTAAAAAATAGGTTTCAGTTTTTTGGAACTAAAGGTAAACGGCTAACTGTTTACTTTCCATCTCCTCTCGCAATAACAACAAAGTATAGACGCCTACTTATTTTGAAATTCCATTGTGTTGTGCCGGGGAAATGCACTAACGGTTACCCTGCCGACAGGCGCTTTATTGTTCGTGTCGCATTTATCGCTGCTTCTAAGCTATCTTCGGCTAAAATAAGTCGCGTTGCGTGTTCACAAGACTGGCTATATATATCTTTTATTGTTGCTTGTACCTGCCGCCTACGGTTCCGTCAACGGACTTAACTATTTCCTTTTTATGTTTACCTATGATATACAAGCGTGATACCACAATAACCTGTACAAACGATTTTGTGGTACTATGGTGGAGGGAGATGACATGGTTCACAATAGCGATATCAGTGTGTCGCTCCTCGGCATTTAACGCAACTAAAACTTGTATTATGCTGGAGATCGAGAAAAACACACAATAGGAAATTAGTGTGGCGCGTTGAACTCTTTTATAAGAAAACCACTAACATTAGTGATGTTTACGCAAATATCCAATATTTTATTTACAATTTTGCCTAATGTCAACATGCGATAAAACTATCAATTTACGTAAATGTTCCGATAACAATAAAGTTAAAACTTAATAAATAAATCGATCTCAAGGTTAGTGTACAAGCATTGTTGTTGCGTGATTTCTCAACGGAGAAAATATTCACAGAAAAATTGTAGTTAATGTGATAGAGCGAAGTAATAATTTATAAATTTTGTCAGGAAAGTTTGTTCTAATACGTGAATACCTCCAGCAAGTGGCACATGGTGCATTTGACCGGACTTTTAATGTTTATTTAATTAGTGCCATGCACTCTGCCATGTATTAGTATCAATGCTCAGAATTGTCCTTACTGTGTACTCTGTAACAGTTGCTGAAATCACAAAGTGATACTGTTTGTTTGCCTATAATTTGGTTTCTCACAAACATGGAATGGACTCTTCTATCGAAAGAATTCCGCGACAACGGGACTGACGAAATTATTATGTATAATTGAAAGAAAAAAAAATTAAATATTATTTTTTATTTTATATAACATTTAAATTAACTGTTATAATATATAGAAAGTGAAAACTGTAAAACTTCACATATTAAGAAATAAATTGTTGTTTTAACTATTTTTTTAACGAATCCATTGTAATCGATCGTTGAAGTTTAAATTTGTCATTTGTAGCTGTTCACAGTACTGAGATCCAGTTGTCATATTCCTGGTCATCATCAGACCTTTAAGATTGATGGTGAGCCAAAATATTATGTATTTAAAATAGAAAAATCGTAACATCTCGGGATCTAAAAAAGAAAAAATACATTTTAAGAAACCGCTTTCCAATTCAAGGACAGTAATTCGTTAGAAAAGTGATTTTAGATATAGGTAAAAGCAGCCGAACCATCAGACTCCTAATTATAATACACTGAAAGGCTTTACTTTAATGAATTATTATCATAATGTTGTTAATATACGCATTAATTAAGACTCGAGCATATTGCAGGGCGCTAACATGAAGCGTATTGTTCTGCTTGTTGGGGAGGCACTGCGGTATTAAGTTAAAACGTTAGTGATTTGTTAAGTAAGATAACAGTTTCACTAGTTGGCACCTCCGGCCCACGATCTGCGTTAGTTGCCGTTTCTAGAAACTGTGCCAACATGCAAAAATAGCGCGAAAAATCAATTGCATCGTCGAGATAGTTGGTCATCCAGCAGTCTGATTGTGCGCTTTCGTCGAATCACACCCCCGCGGTTTTTTACCTTATTCCCAAGATTTTCTTTATTACGTAAGCATTTCATGATTTTTCCAAGTAAAATCGTTATTTAAGAAGTACCCAGCAAGATTCTAGACACCACACCCTCAAACCACCTGTGTTTTGGACCTGCTTGTCACCTTCTTTTGTGTGTGCAACTTTTCTGCATGTTTTATTGTTGTGTCTCCTAGCACTGTTTCTGCTTTTCGATGTTTCTTCTGTGTGTATGATGTTACTTGTAAGTGAAACCTGAAGTAATTTAAACGAATTATTGCTTATGGTGTAGAGATTGAAGTGATTTTAAAGTCTTTATGAACTATACTTGTGTTTTTTCTGATCAATGAAATTGTACTATATTTTTTACAATTTGTATCTGAATTATATTTGATTTCTGATTGAATTGTGCAGGAGTACGAGGAAGAAGGCCGGAGGTCAAGACGGCATTCCTCACCGTGTAATTCTAGAGAGGGCAGCACCACTGCGCTTCATACCCAACATTACGACGACGCCGTAAGTACCTTTTTAATCTCTACATATATTGAAGCCTCTTCTGCTATAAGCAGATAGTAAAGCGTTCACGGATATCCAATTCTCTCTTTCTTCTTCATTCCTGTTATATCGATGGCATATACTATAATGCTTGCCATCGTGGTGAAATGATTTATCAATGCGTGGAATTTATTCGCCGATTTTTATCCGGGATGTCCAAATTTACAGGAAAGGAATATATGGTACGCATGTGGGGACCTTTCGTGCACCCCAATAAACTGATTTTCATGAATTACCTAACTGGTATGCAGATTTATGGTAGTTTTAAAAATCTTTTATGTTCGAAAATGATAACTTGATTAATACTGGTTTTAGCATGTAGCAACTCTACAAGTAATTCTAAATGGTAGACTGGTTTTAATCTTAAAAGGAGAATCGTAAACGGTACTTAAATAAAATGTAGAACATTTGTTTCTTCCGAATCAATTTATTAACCTATTAATTCTGCATGTTTTGTTTCGTACTAAACTAAACTTAATTAAATTTGGGTATACAAATGAATGTTTTTCATTCAAAATATGTTGTATATGTAACCAATAAGATGGAGTGATTTGGGTGGCCTTGAGCGCAGTAAAAGTCGTATTGCGTGAGTTCAAAAGTGGGTAGATTTCTTCAATACGTAGAAACTTTTCAAATAAAGTAGGACGGACGACTATGTTGAATCAAACTAGCGGTGGTTAACGTTACGAAGAAAGACAGACATTTGTAGGTTTATTTTAGAAGAGATTTGTAGTAGTAATGTTTGTAGCTAGAAATGTGAAGATAAATGTATTAAAACTGTGTGCTTTTTTATACGTAAGGCTTTGTGAGTTCACATATGAAGTTATAAAATCTTCACAAGTAGGGCTCAGTTTATGGATTGTCTCGTTGTCTCTGGCGCAGGATTCCGTCAAATCTCGTTTGTAAGTTTGGCTCTGTGCCAGCATTCTCACACAACAACCCCATCTTATGGCTTTCTCCAAAAACGCTACGTGAAATATTATTACTTACTGCGATTCAAAATCTTTTACCAAATGGATTTGTTAAACAATAATCGATGTAACAATAATTACACATTTATTCATACATTGAAAGTTATTCCAGTAACGTCGTATCAATCGTACATACTACGTCGTACTTATGTCTATAATGCGGTAATAAAAGTAAATATTACTCGACTACAGTATAAACCGTAATGCTGTTTTTGTTCTAGTAATTTTAATCAAATTCTTATAAATAAACAATTTTTTAAATGTAGAACTACCAAATTAATAACAGATGTCTAATTCATAAATGACGAATACTTAGACCAAGCGGTTATTGTATAACTGCTCTCATTGTTTTACGTAGCACAAACAGGTCCTGATTGTGAGCGTTATTATTATTATTAGGTCCAATGCTGAGACATAATTACTATGCAACACACGATATGTTGCAGAACACGTCGGATGTTTCCACCGACATCCGACTATCGTATCGTTGAGTATCCTTCATATATTACATTAATTATAAAGTGCTATATACTGTAACAATTAACCCTTATAGTATAATATAACAGTTGCATGTTTTGCAAATCTCATTCTTATAAAATGTATTCCCAAGTGACATAGACGAAGTAATTAATTGATCTATTGAGAAATTAATCTTTTGACTTTTTCGCTGCAACACGAATGGTTTGCATAATTGCTTAACCGAGCGAAAAGCCGGCAATCCATCTGCTGCCATCCTGTACAACTCCTTCAAAAGGTGCCGAACTGGTTAAGTGTTGGTGTTGCAACTCGTTTAATATGAGTTTCTTAAGCAAAACTACTCTATTTACTTAACCACAAATTACATCTAATGCTGAATAGGTCATAGCTTTTCTTGGAGCGTCCGGCGCAAGTCCTCGGTAGCTTTTGAAAGGTCTTTAGCATCATGGTGGCGCTGCTTGCCTCCCAAGTCACCTCCGCATTCGTCGAGGTAGTCTTTCGGTGGTTCCGCGGGATACTTGCTTCCAAATTTCGGTCGAGGGATCCTCACTCGCTTGACGTCGTCCAACCAGCTCTCCATTCTTCAAATAGTACGCAAATCCACACGTGACAAAATAGAAATACCGATTGGTAAATAGCTGCTTCGTAAATTTACCTGGAAGAAAAAAAAAATCATTAGAAACTTGTTTCAAAGTACGGTCGAATTATTTCTATTTATTGTAAATATATTTACACTGTATTAAAAAGAACTAATGCACCGTGAAAACTAAACTAATTAAAAGCTTATAATTAGAAAATAATAATAATAACAATAAGATAAAAAAAGAAAAATAAACATTGTAATAATGCACTCGATTCCCTAGCATTCATCATTTCACAGAATCACGAGCATTCACAACACACAGCCGCCCATCGCCACGCAAGCAAATGACAAACAACTGTTGCATTGTTACATACGTAGTCATTCTCAGTTTGTTTAAATTACCATTGTACATTTCGTTTACCAATACAGTGATTGTAATCACATTCAGTAATGAAATTAAAAAAAAAACATTGTGGTCAGCATCAGTCTCAGGCCATCATAATAATATTCGGTCATTGCAAACAACAACGTAGAGCTATTGCTAAATAGTTTTTTCCATCTTTCAATGATGCAACGAATGTTTATTTCAGAAAACGAATACCGGTCACGGTAATATTTAGATATCATCGGCAATTGAGTGTGTAACAAAAAAAAAGCGATCTACATAAAATAAAAGATCCTATCTCTCATTATTGCGGACGAAATGCAAAGCGCAGTACTGGAAAATAACAAGTCTAGTCCAGTACTCAGTTGGTCTATGATTGTGCAAGCCCACGATGAGCATTGCTGTAACCTGCAATTGCAGATTAGTTAGTGTCCGCAGTTTCGTGTCGAGATCGAAGTGACGCGGGCGCTGAAATGGGCGCCAATGCCACCGGATTTATTTCTAGGAAAAATGAAACCACGTTATGTTAGTCTTGACAGTCAAGTGACACTATTTACAGCACTGGTGGAGATAAAAAGACTGAAATTCACATAAAAAATAATTGAATATCAATTCAATAAAAATTTAAATACACTGAGTAGCGACATCTCTAGCCGGGGCTGGTGGCTGTAAAGGTCTAAATCTAACAGGGTGACGAAATACTTTCATAGAATTCTCATAGATGGCGCTACGGCTAAAAAGTCGTTGAAAAACCAAGTACAAAGACACGACAACAAGCACATAGAGAAATTCGTGAGGTCCGCTGGTTCGTTCCGTGGCTTAGTTGGTATAGCGTCTGGCACGGTTTGCTAGAAGACGTCGGTTTGAATCTGGCCGGATCGAAGGAATTTTCTCTTGAGTGTTCGATCTTTGTATTACTTGGTACTTGGTGTAACGGGCTGGTGTCCGCAATTCGACAAAGACTGAACTTTTATTGTTTCACTCATGCTATGTTTTTTAACATATACATACATAACCTCTAAAATAAGTGTTCTAGACATAGTTAGTTTGCAAACTGACCACTTCTACTGGCTGTATAATTATGTATATGAAACTCGTCTTCGGTTTTGGGTACCTGACCATCATCGTGCTAATCTTAGTCAAAGGCAATAACTTCTTAATAATAAACATCAAAACAAAACAAACAAAATCTTAAGTAGTCAATAACTTTTTAATAATAAACATAAGAATATGGATATTTTGTTATTTATTGCATACATGGTGTAATCATTAAGTGGGCCTAGCGATGATTTCGTTAATATAAACAAATATCAAAAACCTTTAAACAGTGCCTCTACCATGAGATTATATTGACAGTTATTGCTAGCGACCGCGTAAAATGTTTGCATACAAAATGTTGTTTCTTCTTGTTACCGCTAGGGGCGCTGATATCGAAAGTACGTTACCTAATGAGTAAAATGACATCAATACCTTTTTAAATAAAACTAGAAATATCCTAAATTATAATGCCCATACTATGACATTCGTAGAAAGGCTTTAGTTTCCTTACTTTAAGAGGTAACATTAAATTTACAGATAGCAAAACTGTTACAAAAAAAGTAAAAAACTATATTTTAAGTAATTGAACAAAAACGAAGTGATATTTATTTTTATATAAGTACAAACATTTGTATTCAAAGCAGTTGATCGAAATTTAAGGCTCTCAACGAATATCATATTAAATGTATGGGAGCGTTTCATGTTAAAGTTTTACATATTTTTAGACTAATTTTTTAAAGTTATTGATGTCGTTTTACTCATTAGGTACTTTCGATATCAGTTTAAAAGTCTTGAATATCTCTTATATTTACGGAATAGTCGCCTGAGGACAATTAACGATTACACCCTGTATATTATACTGTTTTCAATTTGCTATGTATATTATTTTGGCAGTTGTATACTAGTATGTGAAAACTGTGATAAGTCAATAAGTTCAACCCGCCTGTGAAAGCAGTATATAAGCGCAAGTACCCTAAAGAAAACCAGTTTCAAAATTGAGTAAAAATATAAAAGATTCTGTGTTAGAAAAATAGGAAATCGATTTCAAATCGGCCAGGAAAAAGACACTAAAAATAACAGGATAACTTAAATGAGTCGCGACCGTGGGAAAACTTGCACTTGGAAAAAGACGAGCCAATTCTCTTTGACCCGAGTAAGTAATTGTGTTTTAGATCGTCTTTCCATTTAATATTTGTGTTCGCCCTCAGGCAGTTTCAGCTCTTAAGACGCTAATTAAATATAGTATTGAAGTTGTAAGAACTTCTAAACATAGTCCTAGTTATATTTCTCCTGTTCGTTAATATAACATCTATTTTTCAACCTGCTCCACCAACAGATGGTAGGAAGTAGAAATTTGTTTTAATGGAGCATAATCCGAGCGTGATGCCTATTGTACAGCATACTGAAATACTAAATCGCTGTATCTCGAAAAACTGGTTTATCTTATAACAATAACGATTAACTAACGTCAAGTCAGACTCTCGAGTAAGACAAAGATTTTTAATGC